CAACTGTTTCCTATTTTCGGTATCGGTTTCGGCCAAGAATCTCCCATTCGGTGCACCCCTACTTGAGTAAATGTACTTAGTTACTTCCCACCTCTGGTAAAATGTATATTCTGATAAGATTGAAGTCTTTCTAAAGGGCATCTTAAGTGTCATAATCAAACACAATGTTGCATAAGACTGACTGACTGCTATGCAAACCTTAAAAAAAAGATACATTTGGGTAACATGCATGGTGCATGGTGCAGCCTACTCGGGCTGGAACCCTTAGCCTGCAGTGCCCCCTGCAGGTTCGCTGGAGCAGCTCCTGCCCCCGGTGGGCATTCACAGGCCAGCACATGGACGTGGAGGGGATGCAGCACTGCATTCCTCTTGTCAAACACTGACAGGAGCCAGCTTCAGGCTGCAGGCTTACCGCTCTGTCCGGGCTGGGTTGCAGACAGGAGAGGAGCGGGGGGAGAGAGGGGGGGGGGTGAGGGAAGGAGTCAGGAAGGGAGAGAGGAGGGAGGAAGAGAGGGAGGAGAAGCCAAGGTGGGCAGGGCTGCATTTAACTCACTTCTGCCCGGTACAGGGTGGAGGAGTGAAGGCACTGCTGCTCTGTGGGAGGGAGCAGAGAGGGTGGTGTTTCTCAGTGTGTTGGCTGTTCACTCAGAGGATCATGGGGGGGCACAGGCTGCTGATGCTGCTGTGCTGCTGGGGGTTCTGGTGGCTGACAGGTACACTCACTCACTCAGGTACACTACATTCATATATTTACATTTAGAAAGTTGCATGCCTTTGTATGGTGGGTGGAGTCCAGGCACAAGGGGACGGCAGCTGTAGGGTTCCTTGGGTGTAGAGTATTTTAAAGGACTTTGTTAATGCAAGTTGACTGCTGCCAGGGCTTATGCTGAATGCGGTAAGGTGACTGAGACTACTGAACCAGGCAGACTGCAATAGTAGTGTGTGTGTGTGTGTGTGTGTGTGTGTGTGTGTGTGTGTGTGTGTGTGTGTGTGTGTGTGTGTGTGTGTGTGTGTGTGTGTGTGTGTGTGTGTGTGTGTGTGTGTGTGTGTCTGGCTAATTCAATCAGTATGATAGACTTTGGATTCAATTGTGTTTCAAAACTCTGCATAAATCAAAACAAATTATCCTTTAACTGTGCAAGTATTGGCTATTTCCTGCACTAATTTCCTCATATGCTAGTGACTGATGGGAAAAGGAATGACTTGCCTCGACCAAGCCTGCCTGTTTATCTGTATACGTGCACACTAAGCTCTGTATCACATAAGGTTAACTATGTTTTGACTCTCAGAGCTATTTGTGTATTTCTCTGTAGTGGATAAAACTGATTTAAAATTTGATCAAATAATGCTTTTCTCACACAGATTTGTTTTTATCCATGTGCGTTTTTGCTTCCAGTAAACATTTGAATCAGTGTTGTTGAAGTAAGTTTTGTTACTAAATAAGCATGTCTCTCTATGTAGGAGTTCACTGTGAGGTGGACATCAACGAGTGTGACAGCAATCCATGCCAGAATGGTGCCACGTGTGAAGACTTTGCCAACTCCTACAGGTGTGTGTGCCCCGTCCCAGAGCCAGGCCATGACCCCTGGGGTGGGAGGGACTGTGACGTCCGTCTGGAGGGCTGCAAACAGCACCAGTGCCAACATAAAGCGGGTTGCATCCCTATGCTGACTGATGACGAAGAACACAACTACACCTGCCTGTGTCCGCCTGGCTGGACTGGAGAACGCTGCAACACCTCCACCACTTTCTCCTTCAACTCAGAGGGCTACATCCACATGCAGCTGCCTGTTTCCAAAACCAGAACAAAGAGAGAGGCTAAAGACAGAAACCAAGGGCTCCACATGCATGTTCGATTCAGGAGCACTCTGCCCGACATGGTGCTGTACCACCGGGGCTCCACTGAGCGCTTCATTTCTTTGGAGCTTGTTGGAGGCTCCCTTCAGGCCAGGGTGAAGTCAGGGAAGGTACTGCAAGTCATTTACCCCGGCCCAGTCAATGACGGGGAGTGGCACCAGGCCACTGTCACCATGGATGAGACGCTGGTCATGGTTGTAAAAGGACCCGGCTGTGAGGAAGGGTGCCTGGTAAAAAATGAGGTCTACAACCATCTGATGTTTGTCCAGCCCAGCTCCTTTCCACAGCTGTATGTTGGAGGGGTGCCACAGGAATATTTAGCCTACATGTCCAGTGGAGGGGCGTTCATTGGCTGCATGGAAGACTTTCAAGTTGATCACAAGCTGCTTCTTCCTCAGGATCTCATTAGAGAGGAGAACCAGGGGTTGGAAATAGGATGCAGCAAAAAAGATTGGTGTGAAGATGACCCATGCATGCAGCGAGGGCAGTGTGTGGACATGTGGGTCCGTCCCAGCTGTCAGTGTCATCGCCCCTACTATGGAGGAAGCTGTGACAAAGGTGAGAGTACTAACAGCATACTATATAGGTTTAAAGGAACACTATCTACTTGTAGAACAGGAACAGCAGGTAGACTACTGCTGATCAGACTGTGTGTAGGAGGAACTGTTGGAATGCTTCTTTAGGTGGGAGTCATTCCCTACAGTACATATTTACCATAGTTTCGTGTACTTTGAGGTCCTGTTTTTTTGTGAAGGCGTGACCAATTCAAATATATTAATAAAATCAAAAATTCCATTCTGAGCTTCTCTACCTCTTACATAGAGTTAACACTTACTGCTGCTTGGTGCTAAAACAATAATAAAAAACGAAATATAAATATGATTTGTTATGTGAGTGCATAACATGCAATTCTTGAATCAGATATACAAAAGATTGCCACTGAAAATCTGCACAATGTGGTAAAATACTGCTTCCCAATCAAGTATTGCACTGCCATAGAGGAGGGGCAAAACATATATTTTAGTTGTCTCTATTTAGGTCAAAGTAAATGAATGTGGTTTGCATGAGTCATAAAAATCAACGCAGCAAGATATCACAAGATTGATTCCATGCATTGTGGGTCAAGCTTCAGAAGCACTGGATCCACCACTTCCCATGATGCAACTCCTAGTGAATGCACTTATTTAAAATGTTGCCCAGCACAAGGGACATGTGGTGAAAATGCTCCTCCATGGCCTCGCAACAATGTGATACAACCGAGTAGTACCCTGACAAGTAGTTATTTTTATGTTAATATGGATTGCTGGAGTGAAGAGATATACAGCATTGCTGATTCAGGTGTAGCATGTGCCAGTGTGTTGGGATAAGATACTGATAACATTGTGCTTCCCCTCCCATCTCAGAATATCCCTCCTGGACCTTCAGTCATGAGAACACCACCAGCTACGTCAGCTACAACATCTCGGAAACCCATGGAGAAAACTTCACCATCTCCTTTTTGTTGCGCTCGCTCAAACACAATGGTCTGCTCCTGCAGCTTCGTCGAGAAGGAAAGCCCTACCTGACACTTTATCTGAAGGAGGGCACTGTTGCTATATACAGCCCTCACACCACCCTGCTCTCAGAGGCCAAGCTCGTCACTGACGGCAACAATTATTTAGTAGCTGTACAAGTACAGTATGGCCATGTGGTCTTCCCCAAAGCAGGGAATCATCGTGCCCTCGGGAACGTGAGTGTAGAGGCAGGGGATGTGGCATATGTGGGGGGGCTCCCTGCAGGCATGAGCCTGAATGCCTGGGGTGGAAATATGAAGGGCTGCCTGCAGGACATCCGGCTGGACCACAAGCATCTGACCACTGAGGGTCTTCCAGAGGGGGTGGAGGTCTACCAGGCCAGCACAATGGAGAACGTGCTGCCAGGATGCCAAAGTGATGACACATGCAAGGTGAAAGAGAAATGTACACTTTGATTCAAGATATTTTGTCTCATGCACAGCATAACGGGCAGTTGCACCAACATTCTTATGCTCAGCTCTCCACATCTATATATTAAGAAGCTATACATATGAACAAAGAATTACAAAATATAAGCTGACATACATTAATAAACAATTCCTGTCTCAGAATAAAAGTGCATGATAACACTCAAATAAATATCATATATAAACACGAGGGTATTGTATGGTGATTAAAAATTGTAAATATGCTTAAGAATAAGAATAGATAGATATAAAAGCATGAATAGTGAGTGTGTAAAACAATATAGTGACAGCCAGTGTCAGTGCTGATGGTCATGATTGGGGACTCTCAAGATCATGTGATTGTAGAGAGAATGGTGGAGACTTTTACCCTGACAGCTGTGTTGTGAACTTAAAGAGCATCTTGCAGGTTTTTATTTATTCTACATTTATGCTTAAACTTGCTTGAAAATTACAATTAAAAAAGTGAATGCAGGATTTGATATGTTTTACGAGACATAAGGGCAGGAATTCAGAGGGAAAGGAGCAATGTTGAGCTCTGCTCTTAAAAACGGCTTTTTTTTAAGGTCATACGTCAAACGCGTCATATTACATCACACAGGGGACACATCTCCGCTCTCTGACCGCGGGTATAGTAGAGTTGCGTTGAGTAGAGCGGTTGTGTTTTAAGGAGCTGGTATTTTTCGGTAGTTTTATATTGTATTTCAACATTTGTAATCATGGTGCAGTATTGTGTTTGTGCAGGTTGCACAAATACTAGCCTGTCAGGACATCGAGTCCACAGTAAAAAGGACCGGAGCTAGCGTTCGTTCCTGGGTGCGTTGTGCATCCACCTCCCTGCAGCACATACTCTCCACAGCTTTATCAGGAAACCGTATTACTTCTCTCTCCCCCACCCCTTCGCTGCTCTCTCTCTCTCTCCCTCCGGTACTGTGTTGTTTGTGTGTGCGTGGTGGCTGTCACTCCTGGCTCCCAGCTCAACCTCC